CTGTGAGGTTTAAATTATTGCCCTATCAACTCTACCTCCATTGTACAAAAAAATATTTTACAAGAAGCCTGGGCAAGATTCAACAGCATAGTAGTTTTGTATTCAGGGTTGCTTCCCCACAACACTAAGCATAAGAAATGCAGTGGCAATATAAAGTTTGTAGCCTTTCCAATAAAGGTTTATAAAACAGTTGTTCAGTGTAGTCTTTCTTTCAGTTCTTCCATACCTCAGCTGTTTTGACTAGAACAAACAAAACTGTTTGGAAGAGGGGTAAACTTTAATGTTTAAGTTCACTCAGACTTGATCTGCTTAGTATTGCACCTGTCTTTAAAAACAACAGCAAAAAAAAAAAAAGGTCACCAGTGGATTTTTCTGTAACACCTTTATTTAGAATTTACATATTGTAAAATGTACCTCATTTCAGTGGTTTTCCATATTTACATAAACTAATTTTCCAAAGTTTCATCACTGCATTAGTAGTCACTGCAATCATTAATGACTAATCCTATTTCCAAATATTTTTATATTTGGACATTTTGTATAAATGGAGTCATAACAATACATGGCCTTTTGTGATGCATTTAGCATAGTGTTTTCAAGTTCTATTCATGTGTGTAGCCTGCGTCAATATTTAATTTTTATTACCAAATAATACTTCATTATGTAGCTGCACTTATACATTTATCCACTGGTGGACATTCAGGTGTTACCTTGTGTTTTCCATTGCTGCTTATATTGATGTGAAGTCTGTGAACATGTTTTCATTTATTGAAACAAACGTTCCCACTGTCTTCCATTTACTTAATAGTTCATTTCCAGTATATAACTGCTCCTGGATATCTGGTGGGATTACATCCTGATAAGCCCATTGTAAATTTGAAAATATTGTAAGTAGGAAATATATTTAATATACGTAACCTAAATGTGCTCACATACTAAGCCTGTGTCTGAGCAAAATTATAGAATACAAAGCCTTATAAAATGTTCAATATACCATGTACTTTATTGAATACACATCCAGAAAACACTGAACAACAGCACACTGTAGAGGAGGAGTACACTAGGGTATCATACCACAAATTAGTAGCCCAGAAAAATATCACAATTTAGAAGTGTAGTTTCTACTGAATGTGCTGTTTTTTAAACACCATCATAGTTAGAACTTGTAGAGGAACCATTTTAAATCAGGGACAGGCTGTACATGTATAACAGTATCAGAATTTTCCCATCAGGTGGGAAGCAACTTTATCAACTAGAATACATTGAATGCTATGTATAGTTTTAATTTTTAATTTTACAGATTCTGTTTCAAACGTTACTTAGGTCAATATGCCCAGCTTCCACTCAATTCAATGTGGAATTGTTTCTATGTATTTGTAATAAAGTTAAGATTACAAAGTGGATCAATAACCAATACTTACATGTGTCCGTCAAAAGACACCAGAAGAGTTGGCTTTCAGCTATAGCTAAGAAAAGGGCCTGAGAAAGTTTTTACCAGCAGTAGGT